GCCTGAGGCAACAAGGCTTTTCCGGCAATTCTTACCGATTTTTGTACGGTGACTCCAAAGAGAGCACCAGCATGTCCAGAAAAGCAAGATCCAAACCTATTAATCTGTCAGATGACATCAGACCGCGTGTCGCCCCCTTCGAGCATCATACCGTTAACAAATACGGTAACAACATATATCCTTCCCTTTCTTCCATTTATCTTACTTGCCTCTGGTGTGATTGGCTCTCTTACATTGTCTTTCGCATAAAAAAAGTGTTTGGTAAGGTTTAAAAAATATATATTTTTTTCATAAATTTAACATTTTTAGAGAAAATTTTAAAAATTAAAATTTTAAAATAAATTTTTAAAAAATTACAGATATAATTTTTTAAAACTTGTTTAAAAATATTTTTAAAATTTAATTTTAAAATTTTTTAAACAAAAGTTTAAATTTATGATAAGAAAATTTACTTTAAAAAAATATTTTTAAAATTTTGTGAAACATCTTCTAAATATAATTAGATAATTTTATATGATAAAGAGAGAATAATTCTCTGGACAAATCAACCGTATTTATCTACTACGTAAAATCATCAAACTAATTTAGATAAGGATGAAATGAAGGACACACTGACAGTAGGACAGAAGGGGGTAATCAACCTGTGGCCAAAAAATCTATTTTAATTGAATTTTGCCAAAAAAAAACAATGTAGGGAGAAATTCGTTCATGTGGCTGGGCCCAATACCGAGGGTGCTCATAATGAACCCAGAACATATAAGGGAGATATTTAACAAAACGCCTGACTTCCTAAAGCCCAACTCAAACCCAATAGCGAAGTTATTTTTCTGTGGAGTTGCAACTTATGAAGGCGACAAATGGGCCAAACATAGAAAACTTCTCAACCCAGCTTTCCATCAGGAGAAATTGAAGGTTAGTCTTTTTTATTTATTTATTTATTTATTTTGTTTTTTCTTTTCTTTTTCTTTTTTTGAATTGGCGAAGGAAGTTAGGGTTCAAAATCAAGATTTTTTACTATATATAAATGAGTTATAATCAACTTACACTACCAATCATTTATTAGTTTGATTAGAAAGAAATTAATTTTTTTTAAATAAAGTTTTAATTTTGAATTAATTAGATTCAATGTAATTTTTAGATTTTAAAAATTAGTGAAAAATAATGATAATAATAATTAATTTATATTATTGTAAGTGTTATACTAATTTTTGGTCACTTATTTTAAAATTTTAACCATCAACATAATATTTAAAATTTTAAAATAACTTATTAAATCTTAAAATGTGTGGTTAAAAATTGATATAAGAATTTTTTAAACTTTTATCAATATAAATTATTCGAAGTGATGCATGCAAAAACCATTCTTTTACCCTTTTTTTTCCGGGCCTTAAAAACCCTTTTTTTTTCCTGGCCTTAAAACCATTCTTTTACTCAATTCATGGATTTTCTTGGTAATTTTTACAGCTCATGTTACCAGCACTTTACCAAAGTTGTAGCGATACGATAGGCAAATGGGAGAAATTGGTATCTGCTGATGGATCTTGTGAGTTAGATGTGTGCCCTGATTTCGTTTGTTTGACAAGTGACGCCATTTCTCGAACCGCATTCGGAAGCAACTATGAGGAAGGAGAAAGAATTTTCAAACTACAACAAGAACAAATTCAATTGACAGCGCAAGCATTGCAGTCAGTTTACATTCCTGGGTGGAGGTAAATCAACTTGGTCCAATATTCTTGTCTTTTAGGATATGATATATTGATGTATGAGGATTGGCAAAAGCCTAACTATTCTTTTCTTTATCTGCCTATCAAGCTATGTTGTCCAAAAACATACAGTTCACAGGAAAAGAAAATTTCTAATTTAACCATTATTAATTACCTTCAATTTTTTGAGCTAAAATGTTAATTATGCCATTGATTGTTAACATTTGTTTATATGAAGGTTTCTTCCAACCAAGATAAAGAACAGGATGAAGGAAGTTGAAAGGGAAGTAAGGGCCATAATGAAAGGTCTCATCCACAAAAGAGAGAAGGCAGTGAAAGCCGGTGAGGCAGCCAATGATGACTTGTTGGGTATTCTTTTGGAGTCAAATCTTGGAGAAATTAAAGAACACGGAGGAAGTAAGGCTGTTGGAATGAGCATGGATGATGTGATTGGAGAGTGTAAGCTATTTTACTTCACCGGACAAGAGACTACTTCCAATACCCTCAGTTGGACAATGGTTCTACTGGCACAACATCAAAATTGGCAATCTCGTGCAAGAGAAGAGGTATTATCGATCTTTGGCAACAACAAACCAGATTTCGACAACTTGAATCGCTTAAAAGTTGTAAGTATCACAACTTTGTTTTTTTCAATAATTGGAACTCTTGTATCCTTATTCATTAGCATGTCTTTTCCTAACTATATGAATGCCTGCCCCTGAATTCAAGTGCATATATATTAGCTATAATTCACCTCATTTGTTTGCCCTCCTCGCAGTAGGGGCAACCCATTCCCTGTTTATGGGAAACTAACTACAATGATGCATTCATAGGGTGATAGCCTGTGCACCAAATTGTATCAATGCCTTGCTGATTACTTAGCTCAATCATTCAAATTAGAAATTTTATTTCATAGTCACTTTAAAACTTCTAATTTTTACAGGTAACCATAATTTTATACGAGGTTCTCAGACTCTATCCAGCAGCGACTATGCTTACTCGGTCTACATGGAAGGAAACAAAGCTAGGAAATTTGACGCTACCTGCTGGGGTTCAACTTGTAATGCCAACAATTCTTGTTCACCATGATCCTGAATTTTGGGGAGATGATGCCAAGGATTTTAAACCGGAAAGGTTTGCTGATGGAGTCTCAAAGGTGACGAAAAATCAAGTCTCTTATTTTCCTTTCGGATGGGGTCCTAGAATTTGCATTGGACAAAACTTTGCTCTAAATGAGGCAAAATTGGCCATCGCAATGATTCTACAACGCTTTTGGTTCGAACTTTCCCCTTCCTATGCCCATGCTCCTGCCCTTTCTCTAACTTTTCGTCCACAGCATGGAGTTCATTTGATCTTGCATAAAATGTAGCTCAAGCTGTATTACAATTCTAAGTAGACTTGTTAAAATTAAAATGAATAAACTTCACTTTTACTTTTTTTCACTCTAGTATAAAAGAATAGGTTTGGTACCAAAATGACTTAAGTAAATGATAATCTCTTTCTCATGCAAATAAAAGATCTTGAATTTAAGCAGTATAGTATGGAAGTGAAATGAGTTAAAAGATAAAAAAAATTGTCATTAATTACGTAACTTAAAAATAAAAAAAAATTCTATATGGTTGTAGTTTTCTCAAAAGAAGTTATTGTAATAGGAATGCCTGCTCCCGTCCCCTAGATTGTGCTAACGGCCAAGTGTTGAATAACAGAATGTATAATATGTTAGATTTAACCAATGATTTGTTGATCTAAGTGGAATAAGCTCTCTTATGTAAAGTTTTGAGTTCAAGTTTTGTGTTTAAGTTTTGTGAATAGAGAAATAGGTGTTGAAAGAGCTTCTTTTTTTATGAGTTTGACGCGACTCGATTCTAAATTAATCGCGACCCAATATAATTATCAAATACCACAAGATTAATACAAAAAATAATAATAATAAAGCAATGTTAGGGGCACTCGTCTCCTGTAGTCTCCAGCCAACACTTCCACTTTTATTGGGCCACGTAATATTGGTTTGTCAAAGGATGTACTTCAAAAAACCTAAAACAAGCTTACATGACCCAATGAAAGGGGAAGTGTTGACTGGAGAGTGCAAGAGGTGAGTGCCCTTAGCACTGCTCAAAAAAATAAGAGCAGTATTAGGGGCACTCGCCTCTTGCACTCTCCGGCCAGCACTGCCTCTTTCATTGGACCACGTAAGCTTGTTTGAGGCTCTAAGTGCAACCTCTCACTGACAAGAATAACGTGGCCCAATAAAAGTGAAAGTGTTGGCTGGAGAGTGCAGAAGGCGAGTGCCCCTAGCACTCCTCAAAAAATAATATGCTAGATTTATTGTACTTTTTGTTTTTGTCCTACCATAGTGTAGATTTTTCCACCGTAGGTTTTGGCTCCCTCCCTTGCTGTTGGAATTTTTAAGTATTACAATTTCACACAAATAGAATTGATAAAAAAAATTAAGATAATAATTTAATATAATTTAATTTATATACTTTACAATAAGTTTATATTAATTAAAAAATATATATTTAACCCACTATTAAAAAAGTACATTAATTTAGAAGTTCTCACTTAAATATTCTTAACCTTAATTTTAATACATAAATACTCTCAAATTTTTCTTAATATTCTCTCTTACTCCTCACAATAATTATCTCACAATTTCTTTCTTTTCTCTTTAAGGAGCAGTCACTCACTTAACTCTTTTCAATTTCTCTTACTTCCGGCTGTGCAAAGCTCTATTTATAGAGCTCATCACTCACATAAGCATATATGAACAAGCCTTTAGGGTGGCGCCGTGTCTAGCGAAGTAGGCTGGGGGAATACTTCTTGCCAGCAAGCTTTTGTCAACATAAAAATAAATGTCATGAGTAAATTTCGATAATTTATAACATGATAATAAATGTCGTGAACATGAAAATATAAGAAGAAAATATCAAAAAACCCCCATTTTCAACAATTTTCACCAACTTTCGATGGGGCTGGATTCATTAAACAACACTTGCATAGTGTCGTTTGTCATTGAACAAGGTACAAGCTTGAAAACGACCTTCCCTTTAGTGGTTGTAACAATCTCCGAACCTTTGAGCTCAAATGGATGTCACTTTCATTTGAAACTTTTAAATGAGATTGTGTCTAGCAGTACCTGTGCTCTTAATTAGTTTCTTAAAATTGATTAAAAAATATTAAGAAGTCATGTTCGATACATTAGACACACATGTTAGGGATGGAAGTAGAAAGCTTCTTTTGGAGGCTAGTCAATTCTCAGCTTCCTTAATTCAGTCTTTAGTATAAGTGTCGGATTCAGACGCTTTACATCGAGCCCATCCAAGTAGGCATAGATTGCAGCTGCATTGATATCCAAAAACATACTATGGGGAAGGAACTAGAAATTTCCTTTTCATAGGATTGAGATTTATTTAATGTCTGTAGGACATATATTATAGATAGAAATCATATATATATATATACATATATATATATATATGCATCTAGTTTTTGGGTTTTTTTTTTTTTTTCCCTTTAGTTGTTGTATGATGAGAAGTTAGCAGTTAGATGTAGAAATTAACTCATTAATGTAGGACTTTTATGTATGAAGTGAGAAAGTGTCAATACTCAATACCTTTGTTAGGAGGTAATTCAGGAATATTTATATAATCTTATGACCAAGGGTTAAGATTCATATGGCATAATTGTAATAATACAAGTGTCATTCATCTAAATATTAGATTTTTTTCTTAAGATTTTTTCATTTAAACCTTTGTATTATGATGATGATTTAGCCAAATATAAAAGTTACATGGCAACAATTGAGCCAAACATCGAAAGCTTCTCAACCCCACTTTGCATTAGGAAAAATTGATGGCGACAATTGAGCCAAACATAGAAAGCATCTCAACCCCAACTTTCCATTAGGAAAAGCTTCTCAACTCAACTTTCCATTAGGAAAAATTGAAGGATCATCTTCTTCTTCTTCGAGAATTGGGCCAAACATAGAAAGCTTCTCAACCCATTTTTCCATAAGGAAAAATTGAAGGTTGGGCCAAATATAGAAAGCTTCTCAACCCAACTTTCCATTAGGAAAAATTGAAGCTTCTCCTTCTTTACCGATGCAAGTCAAAACCCAATTTTTTTCCACGTAAAGCCATTCTTTTACTCAATTCGTGAATTTTTTGGGTAATTTTCGGTCATACTTATAAAAAATTAAATAAGAAAATATTTTAGAATTATGTTATTTTAATAAAATTTTATTTAAAAAAAATAAAATATCTTATTTTTTAAAGCATGAATGAAGCTATTCTAGTTTTTTTTTTTTCCCTTGATGTTTTATTAAAACAAAGTAATTTTGAGTGTTTTTTCACTTAATTTTTTTTTAGATCCAACTAATAAATACTAATCTCATTATATATTTATATTTATATTTACAAGTTTTAAGAAAAAAAATTTTGGCCCCCTACACATTTTGCTTAAACTCTATTTCTTTTATAGGTTATACCTAAAGTTTAAGTTTTGAAACCAACATTCAAATAAAATATATGTGAAAACTAGTTTGAAAACACTTTACTAATAAATATGAAAAAAATTCAAAAATACAAACCACTTCCCATGTCTAAATAAAAAATACCAGCCACTTAAATTCAATACAACAAAATCCATGAAAAACCTTTATAAAAAACACACACACACATAAAAAGCATGAAAAGCCCAAAAAAGAGAGGAATAACTCATATGCGAGTGTCGACGTACAACCTTAAGAAACGCCTTACCATGTTTAGAAGTCGAGCTCACGACTTTGGAAGCTATGTTGTGTCAACATCTAGAACCCTCAACATGAGGCCAAAAATAAATAAATAATTGAAAAAATACAAAAGTGAGAATTGAACTTAAAAACTTATAGAGTTATGGGCCTTAATTACCATATGTAAAAGTCAAGCTCATTACTCTTGAAGTTTCGCGGCCTCAACATCTAGAGTTCTACGCCATTAAACATGTGAGGCCTTATTGCTCGTTCATTATTACTCTATCACCGCTGAACATTTAGAATATATTTAGATATAAGTTGTTTATATTATATTTATATAAAATTTTAATTATTTATTATTTATTCTTAATATTTAAAATTTATTTATATTTATTAAAATTATTTATTTATTACTTTAAAATTTATGATAAGTATTAATTATTTTAAAAAATAAATAATTAAAATTTTATATAAAATATAATGTGTAAAATTTATATGTAAATAAAAATTTACTTAATAAAAAAACATTTGTATACTATAAGAAATTACAAAGGGTTTTTTGTACTTTTTTTTAGGTACAAGTAAACATTGTATTTATTATTTTTTATTGTTAATATACATAAAAAAAATAAGGTTAAATGCTAAATTTGATCCCTCAACTATACAAAATGCACTCCGTTAGTCCTTCTGTTAATTTGGGTCGTTAACCTTGCTTAGGTGGCATTTATTATTATTTTTTTGATGATGTGGAGAGCAAAACTTAAAAAAGTGATGATATGCAAAAAACTTTTGCCATGTCACATGCTACCCTGGCGAAAATGCGTCAAATCCATTCAAATGGGTCCCACATCACCACTAAGAATTGCTTCTTTGCCCATCGGTTACTGTTTCTATTCTTTCCATAAACAGTGTTCTTTCCATTTTCAAGATTGAAGTTCAATAGAACCCAGCAGATCT